AATCGTGCTAAAATCCGGCTGAAATGAATTCAAAAGAACTGAACGAAGTTAAAGACACACTCCTACGGGTAGCAGATAGATTGACCCGAACACAGGRATCATCAGGTGCGTAAATCTTGAAAATAATATGACATATTCACAGTTGCAATCTAGTCACAAGACAAATGTATTTTATTTGTTCTTCACTAAACCTTTTATAAMCGTATTTTTGTTTAATTATTGGCAGCATCTGGTATATCCTCTGYATCTTTAGATTCAGTTCAACCCATGCAGAACCAGCCTGGGCCATCAGGATTGGCTGTGTCTGCAGCCGCAGAGCACAAGCGGCTGTGGTCCTACAGAACGTCTTTATCAAACATTGGTAGTAGAAGAACGGCTTCTTACACTGGAAAAGGCAAAAAACCAGCCCAATGCACTCTAAAGTTCGTTTGTTTATCAAAGGCAAATGCCGTAAAGCCACCAACGACCGTGGGAGAGSGGACAGCCCTGTGTAATTCTGGTCTTGGTGATGGAAGCGTGACTTTAGAACTACATCAAGGTCACAATCACACCCTGGAAAAGCTGAAGGAGAAATTCCCCAAACTAGCGTTCCTTAGGGGAGGGGTTGAACTTCTCTTGTATGAAAGAGCTGGTGAACAAAGTGCCTTTCACCAACTAAAGCCACCTTACGCACCAAGTAAATTAAAGGACGTTTGTGGTCAGGCTAAAATCTTTATAAGGCCTTTGCAAGAAGATATTGAGATCGAGGAGGAGGGTACTGCAATTGTTGAGGTAAATATATATTATTCCACGGAAAATTTTYACAAATYCAAAGTAATATATCAGGACCTTGATTATTGTTATCATCGTTCATTACAGACTGTAGATCGTCATCCTACCCTGATTCCCTGTTTGGTTTGTGGAGAAGAAGTTGCTCTAAACGAATTGCGCCAGCACAAGGAAGAATTTCATTCATTCCCTGAGAAAAAAGTAAGTCGTTAATATTTGAAAAATGTATGCTTAAATTATTTTCTCTTTATCTAGTTCATTTGTCTCTCCTTTCTTTTTCTTGTATTCAAATTAACTTTGATATTTCGTCACTACAGAAGCAAAAAACATCCGACGAGGATACCACAAGAACTCTGCAAGAGTTGTTGCCAGACGCCTCGGAAGAGGAAATCCAATCAGCACTAGCTGACTGTAATGGAGACGCAGAAAACGCTGCAAACCAGTTGTTGGGTACCTATAACCTTTTTATAGAAATACGGGACCGACCATTATTTAAAGAGGGRGACTGGTGCAACAGTGATCATGTCCTGCTTGGTTTTTCCTGACCACCACTTATCCGTAGGMACAAATTTTCCTAACCACCCTACCTCCCCCACCCACCCACTGATTCCTGAGTAAAAAACTTCCAAGAAAGAAAGTTGGTTTTTATAGGTATGAGGCCTTCCAGCAATGTCATCACCTTGGATGTTTTTTTTGTTCACCATTTATTTGAGTAAATTTATGCTACCCCTCCTCCCCCCTATAAATTATGTCCAACTAAAACAAACACTTTCACTCATCCGTAGCTGGATCGACGGAAACCAGTCAAAAAACCTTGGTGATTGAAGTAGACGATAATAATAATGATGACGACGATCTTATGCAACCAACATTCGATGTTTCGCCTCAGACTCTTTTAAAGACATTCCAAGAGGAAAATATCAAGAAAAACGCGCCTAGACAACTTTTCCGTGTTTGCCGTTTAGAAGGTATTCAAGACATGAGGAAGGATATCATGGGCGCATACAAGAATCCCAGCATCGACCTGAAAGCTATCCCGCGCGTTCGTTTTGAGGACGAAGATGGTGTAGGAAGCGGATTGGTGAGGGAATATCTACTGAGTGCCATGGCAATTGTCGATGAAGGCATACCATCCAACAACAAGCCTCTCCTTTTTCTGGAAGGTGAAAAAGACCATCGCCTGCCGATACACGRCCGTTCTTTGCGTATAACCGGTTCATTTAAGGCCATTGGACGGATAATAGGGCATTGTGCCCTTCATTGTGGTATAGGGCTTTATGGCTTATCACCTGCCGTGGTTCATTACTGGACCATGGGGAAGCAAGAAGATATACGCCCCCCTGTGACGATGGAGGACATACCTGACATGGAGCTACGAGACCTCATTTCACAGGTAGATGTTCAAACCATCTCAGTTATGCTTAGTTGAATGTTMAAGTTGGCTGGGTTCTCTTTTCTAAATTTGTTACATTCTATGATCTCCTTTGTTGTAGCAAACGTTCTAAAATGTCATCTTTAACTACAAAGGTTTTCTAATAACGATTTCTCAATTTAAAGCTCATAAAATGAACACTTGTTTAAAATRCAGAACGTGTATGATCAAAAYATTAATTAATTTAAYTTTTKCAGTTGGACGCCGTGCCAAAAGACTCAACTCCCTCCTTGGAATTGAGGACAGCTCTAGAGCCATACATGTACGAGGCTGGGCTTGATCCAGWCAATTTATCTGGCAACAAACAATATATCATGGAGGGACTGATTTCATACAACGTGATCGACAAACGAATCATGGAACTAGATGACATGGCTGATGGTAAGACTGTTATTGCTAAAATTTTAACGTTTCGTGTATTTAATTTTATCATGAGACACATGCGCTCAGTGTGTTATATTATTTAAGCCATAAAAAGGTATTTAAGTTTTTAAGTCATAAAAAGGTATTTAAGTTTCTGACATATTATTTAAGTCATAAAAAGATATTTAAGTATTTAAGTCATAAGAAGGTATTTAAGTTTCTCCTACGAAAGAGAGAGGGTTTACACAATCACGTGATGAGAAAAAATTCAGTTTCCCAAAGGTAAAAGACTCCATTGTTATACATCCTGTCATCACGTGATGGAGCAAAGCCTCTTTAGACCAGATTTTGTATGACTGTGTTCATGGTTGCCGTTTGCGTGCCTTGCCGCGGCCGTGGTGTCGTCTAGAATTGTGATTGGCTTTCTTTTCTCTTTCAATGTGATTGTTTTGGCAGTGCMGTATCTTTGTCGTGACCGTGTCCGTGCTATATTTCGGGCATGCAGTTCATGGGTTGATCGAAAAGTGCGTGCCTTGCCGCGACCGTCATGCTTACTTGATCTTTSATTGGCTGACTCCTTGTCGTGCCCGCGTTTGTGCCGTGGGCTTTTCACAGTCCGACGAAAACTGCTCCTTTTWAAAACATCTTAAGACGGTAGCTAGCCATTGAGCGTACGCGTAGCATCAAATACTCTTAAAAAAACATAGATATCTTATGCTTTATCATGATGATAATAATGACGGACCTAGAAAACATGGAAACATGTTTTGGTTCACTTTGAGTGTTTTACGTTGCTCAACTGGGAAACATCAAGAACATTTGTGCACAGAAAATGTTTTTGAAAAAATGTGTTCTCGTTGTGTATAAGAAAGTATAAGAAAGTAATAATATATTAAAGCAATAATAGATAATGATCATGCTGTTGACGATGATGAGAATAATGATGATGATTTCTTTTCAGGGATGGATGAAGTGTCTCTCCACACATTCCTCAAAAAGTTCCCTTCAATCTCGGACGTGTTATTTCCGCCTGAGAATAAACGTATTGTGTCGGCAAAAGAATTGAARGAGGCCATTTCTTTCGAGAAAACGGAGCAAAGTGAAGAAAATGTTCGGGCTAAGCAGTTTATTCTAAATTACATTGACGAATTGGAGTCTTCTGCAGAAGGTTAGAACTAAGTAGCGAAGAGTGCCTCACCCCCTTTGCCTATGCAGATAGAAGGTTTTGCACTTGGCAAAATTTTTCCGCTCCCCCTTCTAGAGCCCCCCTTCCTTCAATTCCTGGATCCCCCCTGACTTTACCTTATAAAAGTGATCGACTGATGGATTGATGAACACAGAATATAAAAGAAATTTAACGTGTTCCTAACAAACGCACAAGCACAAGTATATAAAAAAATTTTGCCTGCTTATATCGCTAGTAGTGAAAAAGCTTTACTTTTCAAAAAACACACAAAACAAAACAAAAAAAAACAAAAAAAAAAGAAAGAAAAAGAAAAAAAGAAAGAAAGAAAAGAAAGAAAAGAAAAGAAAAAAGAAACTACTCGACTGAGTGTATACGAGCAATTCATTGCTCCTCTTGTTACGTCTTGCTACCACTTCTACCAGAATCCTCTTTRAATTCTTTTTCTTATTCAACTGTTTGTACTCCTTGTACTCCTTTAGGAGTCGCAAGATAATGGTGTTAATTAGGCCAACTAAAGGCACTACGAAAAGGATTCTGGTAGACAAGGTATCAAGCGCAATAAAGGGAAACGAGAATTTGTATTTTTTATTTATTATTTCAAATTTCACCCACATAAGTTTGTTATTTAAAAGACAAATAAACGACCTCACACCTTATGCAAACTTTATTTTCAGGCCAACYCAAACTTGTTGACCTGTGTTGCTTCTGGACAGGGGGCCCAAGAGTGCCCACGAAACCTAGTGTTATAATGGTGAAGTTCGACGGAAGCTGCACATTACCAATGGCAGAAACGTGTTTCATGGCTCTTACAGTGCCAACTAAGTACGTAGAGTTCACYGAGTTTAAACGCTACTTCAACACTGCACTAAAATACGGTGCAAAAGGTTTTTCTTTTAATTAGCATTAATTAGATAACTGAAGTACTTCAGTGTCAAGGCGTTGAAATGAAATATACGCCAAGGAAAATAATGACATCRTTAATACAAGTAATATTCTCCAAACTCTTCCAAGAGACTTTAGAGACAACTTCACTATCTATATGCGTTTTCTAAATATGGCTTCTAAGTCAGTTTGTTTCAGTTCAGTCCACATCGTGTGGAGCCATGAAAAATTAATTGCGGTGATTGATTATGTGTGAAATTGTGCTAACATTGGTGCAAAAGGCTTCAATTGCTTCTGTTATGGTCAAGTTTGAAACATCTGTTAACAGATGTTTTTCGTTTTCCAATAAAGGACAGGTAGTGTCGGGCACTTCAACACTTTCAGGTTCTGGTGTGGAAACTGGTCCGCTCCAGTCAACACCATAGTTGTCATAGTCGCTCGGCTGAAATTAACAATAGCTTCGGTTAGTTAATTTGCATGCTACTAATGACATTTAGTATCAAATAAATTGATTACCATAGGTAATACTGTACAGCCGATACCTGAAATGCCTCTTCACTTTCTGTAGTCTGTGTTCCCCAAGTATACTGAAGGCCTCTTATCCACAACTGCATAGGGGTTTTGCCTTGTTCTGTTCGGAGAGGATGATAGACCCATGTGTCTTTCCATTTTCTCAAATGGCGATTGATTATCGGTAGAAACACATAATGAAGGAACCAGAGATGGATTTCGTCCCCGGGCAAAAGAACGCCACTACTTTCCATATCATAGAAAAGTTCGTAGAAGATGCGAAGGCAGCCTTGAAAGAGATCCCGCCACAGTCTCTCTATGCGTTGATTGTGGGTGCTTTTTCCTACAAAAGATAATAGAACAAACATTTTATGTGATGTCGTCATGCTTTCACTGATTTCAATATCTACATTTGGAGTGGGGGGAGTGTTTTCACATTTTTATACCTGTTATCATGCTTCCTCTGCCTGGACCACGTCGAGGATGTGACAGCATGTACGATGCAACATCTAAGTTTTCTCCACCTTTGTCTGATCGTACTCTGGATGGTAGACCATAGTGACTTGAATATGAAAAATTAACATATAAACCATTAACATTTTTATATTTTTAAGGCCATGGTACCGCAGTCGACCTAATGAAACACTTCTCTATTGTACTTGAAAGTGGCTTGTTGCTGAACAACATTGTGCAAATCAGCATGGATGGCCTAAATGTCAATTGGAATTTTTTTGGAGACCTAAGGAACAAAAGTAACAATGACTTTGGATCCCTTCTTATCAATATTGGATCAGGTTTTATTGAAAAGAAAACAAGCAAAGTTCTTTGAAACCAAAATGGCAAGTTTACAAGGTGATGAAGCTCTCGTACATGTTGATTTTTCTGAAAACTACACGTGTCCAGCTAGATGAAGTTCTGTCAGCCCACTGGGATCAAGAACAAGTAACAATCTTTCCGGTGGTAGTGTGGACAAAAGGATCCCGGCAAAGCTATGCCATCATTTCATACGAGAGAAGCCACGACAAACAGGCAATCACAGTGTTCATGGATAAAGTTTTGAACGACTTTATTAAGCAAATCCATCCACAACTTTCGAAAGTCGAAATTTTTTCTGATGGGCCAAGCTCTCAATTTTAAGAACAGATTTATTATTCGGTTTATCTCTCAAATACAAGAATTAAGTGGCCTCTGTCTGAGATGGCATTATTTTGCCACAGCTCACGGCAAACGAGCCGTCGATGGCGTAGGCGGTACCGTAAAACGATGTGTGTGGTCAGCAGTGGCGACAAAAAAGATTCCAAAAGTGGATGACGCCTTTTCGTTTACTAGAGCTGCAAAAGAATATTGTCATTTGTCTACCCGCATTGTTCTGGTCACAAGGGAGGAAATCAGCAAAAAGTACCCTGCGTTTGGAATTGATGATGCAGCTACTGTACCAGGAATCTCTAAAATGCATTACATTGAGCCAATAGGCAGTGGTATTGTCCAACTACGAAATTTTTCAACACAAGGATAAAGTCATCTCAGTTAATGTAAACAAGAGACAGAACAGAGAGAAATAACAACGAGGAAGACTGTGGATAATAGGGATGACATTGCTAAAGCCTGTGATAGAAGCTTTGACGAAGACGATATTGAGTGCAGCCAAAACGAAGAAACCTTTGATGTTCAGCTTGGTTTACCAGCTGAAATGGCGCATCACTTGTCACACACCATAGAGTACCAGTTCAACCAGGAACCACTTATTGAATCCATTCTTTCCCAACACATTCCATTTGAAGGTAGCTTCCTCATAAACAATGACGATGTAAAGGAACTTTCGGGAAGAGGAAATACTTCTGATGAAAACTTTATTTCGAATTTAGTAATTGATCAATATCTACACCATATCTCTGACCATTCATCCGATTGTGTAAAAGTCCTTTCTTGGGAAACTTTCCACACATTCACTGATGAGGAAATTGCAAGAGACCTTGAACGAGAATTTGGCGAAATTGATGTCATATTTGTTCCATGTAACCAAGCCAATAGTGAGCACTGGACATCAAGACTACGTCCCAATGTGTCCGTAACGACATGACCAACATTCAGCAAAGCCGTCTTCAGAGAAGAATAATCAAAGCTAGAAAGGATAAGGAAATGAAACTAAATTTAGAAAGCAGAGGAAGAACGATGAAGTGCGAGGAATGGCCTGAGCCAGCCAGTGTTTTAGAGTACGTTTTCGGTGAAGCGGATCAAAGAGCAAATTCAGGAGGAGGATTAGAGGCGCACCCCCGACTAAAGAATGATGTGTCGTTTAGAAGTAAAGATAATAACACTTTCATGAGGCAAGCTTTAGAAGTAGTCAACGCTGATTCACCTCCCTCTTTTCATATTTCTCTCAGTGCGCCTTAAGACATTATCATGGAAAGGAAGTCAACGCTAAAATTTCATTGCACCACTAATCAAAAACTCTTGTAAATAAACTTGTAGTAAATCTCAAGTACAGCACCGCCAATGTAAATTACATTTGCGATTTAAGTGACAAACGAAAAGACAATGTACATATTGATTCTAAAGATGCAAAAATAATAATATGTGGTGAAATAACTCCTGTTCAAAAGCCTGGAAAAGCTTGGAAGACCATCGAGTGCCCAGACCATGACTGGAACCAAAGCAGAACGGATGCAGTGACACCTATGACCCACCTGTTCCTGAAGACGTTAATAACAAAAGGTGAAAGCATTCTGCCCTCTCTTACTGTTAATGAGCTCCAGTTGAATCTGCGCACTCTGTTCTAACACTCTTCTTCATGTTACTCGTACTGGAAAAGCAGTGACACTTATAAATCCATCTCTGTTGGAGCCAGATACAACAATCAAATTATTTAGTGAGCTCTTCCTTCTGATATCAAAGCCGTCTTTGGATTGCGTTTTCCGGGACCCCTCGAAAGGAAGTCTAAAGTCAATTTTTGTTTTCATTGTCGATAACGGTCCAGCTGAACAGCCAGCAAGTCACCTGGTTCAAATGCTCCTTGTTAGACGTTTACAACTTCTGAATCTTAACAAGATTACACAAGTATCTTTTGCAGAATACCACAGCAAGAGAAACTTTGTTGAACGTGTTCACGCCATCGAGGACGAGGCTCTATCTCGCCACGGGCCATTTTCGGCTCATAAAGTTTACCAAGGCCGAATAGAGCCAGGGTCTAACAAGCACAAAGAGAATATGGAAGCTATGACAAATGATGTTCTGTCCTGCCTTAGCCAGGCAAAGCATGTGGGAGAGACGTTGGAGGCCTACTGGGGGATAAGGTCATCAGAATATCTTTAACGACGAGGAACGTTCGAAAAGCTTCTTGTCGCTTTCAGAGGAAAATAAAGAAGAATGTGATTGGTCATACAAAGTAATAGAGGAGAGCTCGGTTTGGAAAGACATTGAGCTAATTTGGAATTTGAAGCGGGAAAATATTTCATGTAAGTATCTGGATGATTATCAGATGATTAATAACAATTATATCCCATTAAGAACTGCTTGGGTTGACAAGTATGAGGCTAGCTTTTACAGGCCAAACGAACAGTGGCGAGGGGAAGCACTGCCAAAAAAAGAAATGCAACCCATTCCTGATTATATCAGATGGTTAGCTACTGGTGGAGACCTTCATTATCTGTCATTTGATAGAAATCAATTAATGTGCGGACCCTGGGACGAGTCTCCAGGGCTCTTTAGACCTGAAGGACTTCTGGATATAATGATTGCAATCAACTGTGACCCCCCCCCCCCCGAGAGTGTCTTTACTGCAATATCATTTCTGGTGTGGCTTCCTGAAAAAGAGGTTGCTAGATATTTTCAAGAGGAAGGAGAAAGAATATCAACAGAGGTGATCGAAGATCAAGAAAGGGAATAGTGGAGGAGACATAAACGGTTCTCTCAAAACGTTGCAACCTTAAGGGATGTTTGTAAGAAGATGGGGCTTTCAACAAAAGGGCAGAAACACCACTTAGTTGCACGAATCGCAGCGTCGGAGGGAGACCAGCCACCATTAAAAGAACAGCTCTATAATGGAGATTTTCAGACAGTTCCATCATCCATATCCAGTTAGAAATGTTGAAACCCCTGTATGATTATTTAAGAGTGGATGTCAGTAAAACTCAGACATTTTTGAAATTTCGTGGCAAGTGTGAAAAATTCGATTTGTCTCATATTTTGAAGGGAGGTAGGCTATGATGTAATACAAGCCCCTACACACTTAGTTTTTGAAAATATTGTTTTATTCCCAAGAAATTAAAATATTTCTTTCGAGGCGTCAATATGCTAATTAGAGAGGTCTAAAAATGAGCACAATTACAGACCTCCTTTGCTAAAACTATACAAGATTAAACCTTTAAAATATAAAAAA